CAAGACATCAAAATTTCTAAATTAAACTTGCTAAACCAAATGTTTTATACAGCAATTTACTTATTTTTATGCAGTATGTCCACTGATACTTCAGATTATGCTGTTAGGTTTAACAGTCCTCTGTGATTTAATAAATAATGAAGATAACTTTGCTCCCTTCATTGCAATTTGGTCAGTTTGTTTAAGCTTGCTTACTTTCCACAATTCTCTTACACGTAAAGAACACCAGGGAGAAAACCAGGTGTAAATACCTGCTCTTAGCATTGATGAGAGCTGTGATTCTGTAAAGCAGCAATGTAGGGCTTACACTTGTAGCTAGTGCTAACACTTCTGTCCCGTATTAAAAGACTTCAGAACTCCTGAAAGTCATATACAAATAGCTGAAACAAAGTTCATTTCATTTATCTCCAAAGACTTTGTATGTACTTTTCCCTAATCCCAAGGCACTTTCCAAAGACACCAAGGCCTCACTTCAGCGCAGAAGTATCTGAGTAACCTAGCAAATATTTCTTTTTTCAATAGTACAGGCTCAGAAGCCTAAGGTTGTAAGTAAAATTTTGCTCAGCGTATGATAGCTACTTTATTTACTTCCAGTCACTGAAGAGTCTGCAGTACTCACTGCCTTGTGACCTCAATGACTTTGATGTTTTAATGACATGGAGGCTGTTTCCTGTTGACACTGAATGGGCCAAAGCAGGCATCTAGGTAACACAGCAGATAGAAAATACAACTCCAATTAGGAAGGTACAGTCTGAAGGATTTTTAAGATGCCCTTAACTCTGCTCATGGATCCCCAGCTTCTTGGGGACCCCAGTTTCTTGGGAGATGGAGAGGCAACAGATGTTGGTTATGCCAAATTCAGAGATTGTTGCAGTGACAGTAAAAGTACAAGGAAGTCTCCTCATATTTGCTTATCCATGCCTGTAATAGCTTATGAGAGGGCTACTCCATAAAACAGTAGAGGAATATATATGGATATATACTAACACATCTGATGACCTGATGAACTGGAAACTACTGGCAACTACTGGCTCTGATGATGTTGGATGCTTTCACTACTTCTTCATCTCATTAATTATGCTTGTTCAAGAGATGAGTATCAGGCCCTAAAGGTTTGAAGAAAGAAAATCCTAGCACAATCTGACATGAAAATAAATGTGACAAAACAATAATAGGATACTACCGGGTAGTAGGAAATATATCACTGGACTTGAACAAAGTAGTTTTCAATTAAAATTAGCACTGAGATGTTGGAGAAAGTAGGACAATAGAAATACTGAAGGTGGGATAACTGTTGAGTGGACAGAAATGTGATCCTCAATTGTGGAAAGCAAATGGAAAAGGAGATAAAATGGAGATGACAAAAATCCAAATGAAATACAAAACTATCTTTTTTTGATGAAAAAAAACCATGAAAAAAGGAAGATGTGATACATTTTCAGCAGAGAAAAACAGTAAGTCTCTGCATCATGTATCTTAGCAGCTGTAATGGTAATACAGAGTTTTGCAGTGAATGGAATTATAATTTTTTCTTTTTATTTGTTTTTAATGTTTTTTATCAGCTAACTATATTTTATTTGACTTTTTTTTTAAGACTTTAAGACTTTTAAGATTTACTCATTGAAAACTGAATAGTTCCTTAGCACTGTATGCAAACTCTTTTCCTACAAGCTCTGAGCCTAAGAATATTATGGATAGGAAAATCAGATTCAAGGATGGTGCTAGGAAACAGTGAACGGGAAAGAGAGAGGTAGGATTAATCACGTAACCACCTTCCCATTTCAGACTTTTAAGGTAATACCATTCGCGGAAAAAAGGCCATTCTCTCCATCTTTAGGTACAATTCAGGACTAATTAAATCGGTCCAAGAAGGGACTATAAACACAGTTCATCTCATGTCAGAACGGTTGGGAACAGGGTCTCTTTGAGGTATACACATGTGTAAGTCGATCAGTGTGGGTTTCGTTTCAACATTTCTTTTGACAGAAAATTAGTCCTGACTAGATCAACCCAAATGATTAATCAATCTCATTCTCTGGCTGTTTTCAATTTTATGTGATTTTCCTGAGGCAGGGATCACTCATTCTGAAAATTGGCTAAGCATCTTGTGGACCACCTCAATTATTTTCTATCTAAAGAAACCATTCATCAGCAGTCCGCAAAGCAGGGAAAATATGGAGATGTGGCTCAGTAAGAGTTTGGAACAAGACACAACCACTTCACAAAGATGAAAGATCTTGTTGCTGCTGGAGGATTGAATCCATGGGGAGCTGAGTGCCTTTGACAGAGCTAAAACCTGACTCAAATAAGATATGGAGTTCCCAGCACACTGCTCCTGATGAATGTTTGTAGGCTGATTCAGGAGGGTTACCTGCCCACAAGGACAGAAAAGCTCAAGGGAAGATGTTAGCCAGGAACCTTTGCTTTTTGCAGAGGGAAAACTCAGTGCTCTGTTGTATTCTGAAGGTGTGAGAGAGAGGCCCCTGAGTCAGCTTGCTCCACCAGGATTTCCTGCAGGAGCTCTGCTGCACGTGACCCCAGCTGGCTTAGTGTTTCCTGAGTACGTGCTGGAGGTCCTCCAGGGGTTTCTGATGCAGAACTTAGCCAGATATTTCCATGAGCTTTGTCAATATTATGTAACTGTTCTTCCCTTTGATAGTTTCTTATAACTGTACATCCATGAGGCTCATGGATCCTTCTTCATTTTAGTAAAATATATACAAATTCAAGAAGCCTTAAGTTTGTTCTGGCACTGGACTTTTAGAAATCAATGAATAAATTGGTAACATTCCTAAAAGCGTGAATGACATTCACCATAGGAGTTGAGTTTTATTATGCTTGTCTAATACACCAACTGAGAACAATGTTTAAACAAAGCAGTTCCTAACACTCAGTTAAAAAGACATTCACCTGATCCAACTCTTCTAAACTGAATACACAAATTTTCTGGGGCTCACTGAGGCTGTGGATAATTATCCTTCCACAGAACTTAGAGTGCCAATAGCCATGCTTTTGAAAAACTGTTGCAGTACAATTCATATGGCTGGACACGGCTGAATTCAGCCAAACACTGTCAGTTACAAAATCCTCAAAACGTCAAAAAGCAGAGGATCTACGCCTCTATATTTCCACCTGCCTAGGACTTGCACACTTTTTATGCAATTTTAATCATGCTGACTTGCTGATGCCTCATGGAAAAATTTGGAAAAAAATAAATGTTTTATTTCCGGACAGTTTTGGCAACAATCACACTTTTTCTTTTTATCCATTCTTTGCGTCTAGGAAAAGCTGGCTAGAAAACGCTATCTGATCTTTCAAAATTCATTCTGTTCTACCTGTGATATCTCAGTTATGGTCTTCAGTGTTTCCATGGGGCATCAGCAGGTCTAAAAGAGAAATGAAACTGTATTCATACGATAGACATTACTGTGTCTTTCTTTTGAGTAAGGGGTCTACTGTGAATTTCAAAACCTGTATCATAATGAGTAAAAAAACCCACCTTGTTAAGCCAGCCCATTCTAGATATGTACTTTTCTGGTGCTGGACTAACATTAGATTGTCAGGAGTCCAAGAAGAGAGGAGGACAAAGTCACTTACATATCTTCCTTTTGTTCTCACCTACATCTGGCAAATAATGTCAGACTACAAAATCCACAGACGAATTCTCTATTTTTTCCCATTGCTATTGCAGCAAAAATATCCAGCAAAACAAATTCTCTGGCGATTCTAACTTTGGCCTAGCCTGGATGGGCCATGCTTGATCATGAAAAATAGCACAACTTCAATGACCTGCCCATTCATTCATTCGCCTTCCTCCTCCTGAGACTGCCAGTACAATTCCTGGTCTTGATACCTTCTGAGACTTGTGAACCAGTCAGGATGAACAAGTACTGAGGGCATTCTTTCAGGTGTTGAGAATTAAGCGGTACACAGAGCAAAACTTGTGGTGTCTTAAGAAACCACTGATTTGGACCTAAACTTCCATTAGCAACTACTTTAATCATCTTGACAAAGAAACCATCCTACAGAAGGACTCGCAGTCATTTGCTTGTGAAGAAGACGTTTCTACCAGATTTTTACTGCTCAGGTAGACTACCTCTATGCTACATTCACAGAGTTTTGGGGGAAAAGCGAGTTGGGGAATTTTACTTCAAAGCTCCTCTAAATCTCCCTCTGAAAACTGAAAAAAATGCTTGTGAAAGTTTTAAAATGAACACTGACAAGCAGCTTCTTTAAATACACACACAGTAAGTCTCAGACTTACTTTCTTGCACCACTCTTTTATCTTGTATAATACCTAATAGATGACATATTTCATTCCACAAGTTGACAATGTTAAAAATGTGCTATTCCTTCTAGTTTTAGTATACTGCAAAGCCACTGATAGCTACAGGCACTATGAGCGATATATGACTGAAGAAAAATGAGATTACTGCTGATAAGGAACAAGAGACTTTCATATCTTAAAAGAGTCTGAAATCCAGCAAATATGATCCCCAGCAGCAGATGCCCCTCAGACAGACAGTGAAAGAAAAATGGTGGAAAAGTACTCGCTTCAGCTTGTTGTTTCCTTCAGCCAGAACGGCCACGAAATTAAGTAGCTCTAGCAACCTGTCTGCATGAAGAAATCCAACCTCTCTGGGAAAAGCATAACCCAAAGACAACCAACAGTCTAACAAAGTGAGCAGAAATTTTCCACTATGGATACAGCGATGTTACTGTGACTCACCTTCTTTGGTAAAATATACCTTTACTCTGAAAGTGTTGCTCTTTTGAAGGCTATCATGCTGTTATCATCGATGTTTATTGGAAAAACCATCAAATTAAAGGAAGTGTAGTACCAAAGCCAAACCTCAGGCTGGAAATACTGTATTAATGGTTCTTTAACAAAAGGAATGAAACATATGCAAATGTGAAATAGCTCCTTTCTCTGTCTATTAATGTATCCCTGGAACACGAATGAACATAATTTAAAGATGTAAATACAGTGCAACCCTTACCTTGTATCCTGACGATTTGATGTGCACTCCTCGCTTGGTCAGTGTAGATTTCATTCGGATGAAAAAAGAGCGCTCTAGAGTGTTGTCAGTGGTTAGTAAACTGGGGCTTGTAGATTCCACTAGGGAATAGAAAAAATACATATACACATAATTTAGATTTTATACATCCCCTCTAAGCTATTTTTCAGGTGCAATCCTTGAACTCACTAAAAATAAATGACTGATGGATGCTAAGAGTGTTGTAATCAATTTACCTCGTTTAGAAAACGTTTACTTAGCAAAAAAAATTTGAAAAATATATGTATACTCCGTAAGTCTCATTTTCAAGTTATTTTTCCCAGAGAATTTTTATCAGAGATTTGTCTCATTAACTCTTTCTTGCACAAATTTGTTAGGAGTGGAGTTATTTTGTTAGGGTATGGCATTGTTTTAAAAACTGTGGAGTTCCTCAATATTTTGTGAAAGGCAAAGTCTCACCAAGGAAGCGATTCCATTGCTGAAAGAGGCTGTAAATTCTGCAGGCTTTTATTCCCTACTCTCGAGTCCTCGTTTGCAGTGACACCTAGGGTGAGTCAATGCTGGTTTTGAGTGCCTTGGTTTCCCCATTACTGAGGGTTAATTATTATCAGTAAGGCACTGAGCAGCCTGAAGGCAAAAATCATCAAGCAAATGACACATATTTTTCTTATTTTCATAATCATCATAATCATTGATGAATTGGTCACTAATGAAGTGACCATCATATAGCTTTCACCTGTGCTTCTCACTCCATCAGCTGCAACCACTTAAAACAGTAAATAAAACCCCGTAATATAAACCATGATAAAATAGTGGGTACAACCCTAACTGGCACTGACATATTCTTTATACAATCTTTGTTATCGCTGTTTTTAGCCCTGATAACCAACCTCTCCCCAAAGTATTGTCCATGGGAAAATTCTAGAGTAGCTTACAATAAGCATTATTGGAGATGAACTAAATTTCAGTTTCAATTAATTAATAACACTGAATAAAAAAGTTATTTTGAAATTATTCTGCTATTGTTTTGGAGAACCAACTAAACTAGCAGGAGAAAGTATTCAAGTATTTAAAAAGCACTTGTTATGCAGTCAACAGAAACACAAAAACTTGTTTGTGAGGTAAGGGTTATATTAAATTGTTCTTGATTTAATGTGGTCACGTTGTCTTGTGTTTGTGACATTTCAACTCTATTGTGATGAAATAACTGGCAAGAGTGCCCCTTTCTTTAGCGTCTCTCTTAAGATTTTTTTGTTTTAGAGAGCATGAATTCGATGTCATTTTAAATGTACAGCTCTTTATCACTCGAGGGAAAAGCAGAGCCATGTTATATTTAGTACTTTCATTTCTTCTGATTAAATATGAATTACTATGAAATTTTTCTCATCATCTAACACGCCATAATACGCCAACAGCTTTTTAATACACTATATAAGCACAAACTTCTGCTCTAAGAGTTTAATTTGCCCCTCTAATCCAATCACATCAACCTTATTTCTCTTATCAGAGATTCCCATTTTGAATTAAATGAGCTCATTAGTTTTAATCAAAAGCAGAGAGATCAAAACTTAAACGTAAATGCTTTAGACCAGAACTGTCAGTCAGCCGTGCAGTTCTATTTTACTAAAACACAAGATCAGAGACCCTTAGAACCAATTTTTTCTCGTAAGGGATGCCAAGAGCTTGAAGATGCTATATCCTTTTTTTTTTCAGCTCCCAAGGACAGATTATACATTTAAGGTTAGACTTAATTTAGAGTATTTTTTTTCATCCTGGTGGAAATGGGAAAGTATGCCATTCTGCTGTTGTCTCTCTCACATTTATTGGTGCTGGTCCTTGGAGACCTGAACAAATGTGAAGCCATCACAATCCATGCAACAAACCTGTCCTCAAAAAATTCAGCTCTGTTCAGCAATATCATCTAAGAAATAAAACTCTGAAAGGAAAGATATGTGTTTCAGGGTACAGGATAGTGGAACCCTGAAACAGCAACCAGGGTCACTGGGATAGCAGCAGGACTGGTAAGATGAGGATCATAATTAATTATTATTTTTATTGTACAGTACTCTACAGTGCAGTAGTTAAAGAGTACATTACGAAACCACAGCATGGGTGCTTCCCGCTGTGTGAAGAAATGCTAAAATCAGCTTAACAAGTGTAGTTGTTGTAGTCCAGCACATTATGCTCTAGCACAGGCAATAAGTACAATATGTCCTCATGTGTTCTAATGGTAATTACCTAAACACACAGAAGTAATGTTAATTAAACACACAATATCTCATGCTCAAAAAATGATCAGGCTGTAATACACATGTGCCATTCCCAAGCAACTGAAATTAAAATTTCTCTTCAATACACAGTTTTATGAAAGAACAGAAAACATCTGACATCTAATACAGCGTACTTGGCACGGACATTTTCTGGGCTCATGTCACCTTATATCATAAACTTAACATTATTTTGCTGTTACCATAACTTGTACAAACCTATATATCTCTAAGTGAATGTTATAAAATGCATATAATTTATCCAACAGACTGGAACCGTGTCTGTCACATAAATATGTATTCTGAGGTGTCTGATTTTCTTTAACAAAAAGTACCTGAGAGTGTATGTGTGAGATGGGATTAGTTACCTAAAAGTCCAGAACAGCTTATGAACAGCTTTCTGAATTTCTCTCAGGAGAGAACCATTACGGCTCATAGTACGCATCTGCATTCAGAGTTGCACGCACCCACGGTAGATACCGTAACAATGCTAACGGGGATTATGCATGCAGGATTTTAAAAACAGGATGTGTACAGAACACATCCACTGATGTAACTGAGATTTGCACAGGAATGTGTGGAATATGGTCCATTACGAGTTCTCAGGAGTTGATTTTAAATGCCTATCACTCAGCCTTTTCAATTTTTTTCCAATTATGTCAAAGGAAGCTAGCAATCTGAGGAACATCAGAATGAAACTCTAGCAATTCATTTTTTCAAGAGGTCTTTTTTTTTTTTTTTTTTTAAATTTGTAATCGAAGACCTTTAAAAAAAGCCTGAAATAAGCAAGGTCCCCTTTGCTTGATACTGTAGTAACTAAAGGTGTCTTTTACACTGAAAAATAGTGCTCCTGGGCTGAATTAACTGAGAATAAACCTACTGTTGAGTTATAACCCTCTGAAACTGTGAGTTTAGAATGCTAATAATATGATAAAAGTCAGTGCTCACTGCGCGTGAATGAAAGCACTATACACTGTCAGGCTTAGAAGTATAAAAAGTAAGCCTGGATCGTCTTTGCAAAACAGGTAACTGTGTGCTCTGCTGGGAAAGCACTTGCCTTTGTGTGCCCTTAAATATCTTTGGCAGACAGTACTAGAGGAGTAAACCTCTTCTCTTTCCACTCCCAAAGCTGCTAATGCAGGATGAGATTTTTGGACATAAGGAATGCATTGCCCATTTCAAAGGGCATGAAGCTGCAACCCACGATATCCGTATGAAAGCATCATAAACGTTAAAATGTTATCTAAGAGCCATGGAGGCAAATGGGGATATAGTACAAACTAGTGGCCAGTTCCCAAAATTATTTAGTTATCTCCTCCTAAGCATTTCTTTGTGAACAAGCCTTGTAGTTCCGATCCTTCAATGGGCTTTTGCCTTGGAAATAAACCTGGGCCCAGACCCTACAAACCAGTCATGCGCTGTTTAACTTTACCTGCAGGAAGAGTTCTTCTGATGGGAGTGGAAAGTGTACTGACAAATATGCACGTAACTGGGGGACTGAGGTCCATTTCTCTGATCCTGTGGTGATCTGCAGATGTACTCTGCATCTGTGTGCAGCCTGACTACCTTAATGCTATAGAGCAAAGCAATGTAAACCAATGCAAATAATTGCTCTTACACAGAAACAGCACAAGTACTATGCCTATGACTGATTCACAAGCACATTCAAATTCAGATAAACAATTTTTCCCCTAGGAAAAAAGAAGTTCCAAATTTGATTTATGTCTTAAATAACAAAATCCTGCCAAAGCAGCCTGAATAAATATTCACCAACATGCATTAAAAATAATTGAGAGGAGAAAAATGCATTTTCGCATGCCAAACAGATAAAAGATAGGCTTCTCATTCTTAGGAGGACCAGAAGCTACAGAGGGAAAACCAAACGCCAACAAGGAATTTGAAGGAGTTGGTGGGAAATAAAAGCTTATGGTTTTTAACATATGGGAAATTCTGGATTTGGTAGCATTTCAGGAGTTTTCACCTGACTTTCATTTCTCTTCCTTGAAAAGAGGTGTCAACGCAGCTTTTAAGAGACATTCTCCAACACCAGGTATACAGCTCTTAAAAGAGAAACAAAATAAAACCCCCCACAAAATAGTAAGAAAAAGGGAGCTCTCTTCTCATGATATCTTCTACACTTGCAAACCTCTTCCCACATTTTCCATATAATCCTTTGCATAGGCAATCATTATGTTTAGATGAATAATTAGGTAATATAAATCTATCATTTTCAGTTGGACTAGATGCATCTTTGTAAATGTTCCTATTTCTTCTGTGCAGTTTATTGTCTGTAACCAGGCATTAAAAGACTTGCTAGGAAAAATTAACCTTGAGTAGTTAACTGTCCTGTTTCTTCTTATATATTATTGCCTCTTAAAGTGCATTTTTAATCAGAAAAGTGACTCTCAAAAAAGCACTGTTGCCAAGGTAATTTTCTCTCAGTACCTTACAGATCAAATTTGATCATTTTATAAGCTAAAGGATAGATTTTTCTAACTACTAGCCCAGGAAACACAATTCAAACCCTTTAAATTAAGACAATTTATTTCCAATAAGTGCAAGTTACTATGAAATTATACTTAGCACTTGTACAAATGCATGGTTTTAAGTGAAGTGGGTTCAGTCTGATTGCAGGCTGAACATGGGCAAGTACTAAGAAGCTAAAGCTTGGCCTAGGAAGGTGCTGAAGATTCTTGGACTATTTGGATGAACCACTTAGGCATATTTATGCACACAGGCAGCCTGCCTGGAGATCAACCCATGAGCACAGAGCTTGCAATTTCTATAGGTGCTCTCTCAGTCTTGCTGGTGGGCTCAGCATCTTGCAAAAGCAA